GGCAGTTTTAGTAGTTGGGACAGATTTTTTAAAATTCTAGTGCTGCTTGGCACATTTCTAGTTCTGTCCTTTATATTTAAATAAACGCACTCACAGAAGGATTCAGTAAATACACAGTCCAGAGGGACCCAGTAATCAAGACATTGTCTAAATTAGCTTTTTTTTCCTGCTATTTTTTTCCACTGTAGCAGCTCCAGCTGTGCTAGTAACAATTCGTGAGCAGACAAATCCCAGGCAGTTGCTGGAATTTTAACCACTATGTCATCAAGATTTGTTCTGAATGGGGTTAGACAGCAATGGGAAATTTTAAGTGGAAATAGCTGATGTAGACCCCTTTCAATGAGTGTTTCTTGGTGCAGTTAAAAAAAATATTAAAAAAGTATAACAAAGTGCATTAAGTACATCAGAATACATAAATACACGAACAATACTCTGTATTGTAAATAGTGGATCCAAAATTACTCCTTGCTGTAATCTTATTGCACTCTTTCTTCCTGCACCTTTCCTTCAGAAAAGTATGGTCCATCGTTTTTTTAAAGTTTGAACTAGCATTCTACTGAGAGCTTTGTTGGATTTGTCATCAAAATATGCATAAGTGGCAATAATCTTAAGTGTTGACTGCTTAGTAAATTTTAAATACAGACTTGCTGCAAAATCCTTTAAAAATCTCAAGATAGCCTATTGGATTCTGAAATAATTAAGATAATTTTTATCCAAGCTGATATACTTGTTGTCGGCACAGAGGGCCCGAGGGGGCAACAGCGGGGTTCGTTGCCCGGTGTGCTTCGTGCCAATGAACACACCAGGGTGGAGAAGCAGACAAAGTTTATTCAAGAGCTCTGAATAGGCACTAGGAGACCAGCATGTCTCAAATCAAGCGCACCAACATAAGCAGTTTCTCTCTTTTTATACTTTACTTTCTCCCCCCTTCTTCCCTACCCCCCGTTCCTCCCTTCCCCCTCCCTCCTCCTACAGCAGTCACATTTAAGCAGTTAAGTCATCTTGGCGGCTATAAGTCTAGCTCGTTAGTAACTCTTTTTTGAACCGTTATCTTGTCCTTTTCCCTTTGATCTGTTATCTTGCCTTTCAGCCAGAAGCATGCAGGCCTTATTACTATTGCTTCCCAGCTGGCCTGTGAGGTTAGTAAAGTTTAACATGCAGGGGCTTCGGTTCACTTTGGCCTAGAGCGGGGGGGCTTTATCGACTCTCGTGGTCTTCCAACCCCCCAAGTTACCTAGGGTGATGCCTAGTGACACCAACATTCCCAATGTCCATATAGTTCACATACATTATGTGTGTGTTCAAAACTAATGGTTCTGTTGTTTTCTCTAAAAGAGAACTCAAGGCCCGATCCTGAAAGGTGCTCAAAGCCACTTAAGTACTGTTGAGTGCCCCCTAAAATCCTACAGAAGTGAAAAAAGAATGGAGAACACCCAGCAGCTCACAAGAAATGCTTTACATCCTATAGGGACCAAACAATTTCCCCTGTGTATTAAGGCTGAGGGAATGAAAAACCCACAGATCCCTGCGTGACGAGCCAGAGAGGCCCCACACAGGCAATGTGAATGAGTTGAGGAGGCAAACAGGCTCTCCGCTGGTAATGAAAGGGTTAGGGAATGCCTGTGGTCCTAGCTGGCCCCACCCCACTACACCTGCACCCAGTGTGAGGTGTGGACCAGGGAGATAAGAGAAGGCGGCCTACGCTAAGTCAAGGCTGATCAGGAAGGAGAACAGAGCTCTAATTCTCTTGGTGGGAGAGAAGTTTGGTTGTAGGCCTGAGATGGTGCTTGCTTGCCAGCTGGATTGGCTCTCCTGGAAGGGATGACCAAATTTTAGGATGGGAATTGGCAGAAGCAAAGACAGGGAGACAAACCTTGAATACAAGGGTGGGGCCTCACTGAAGGTTTGTGGGATGACCCTGGATTTGAGTTATGCTTATTATTGTTCCTGAAATGCCCCAGCCAAAGTACCACTCTACTGGACCTTGTTGGGACAGACACATACAGTAACTCCTCACTTAAAATTGTCCTGGCAAACGTTGTTACGTTGCTGATCAATTGGGGAATGTGCTCATTTAAAGCAGGGCCGCCCAGAGGATTCAGGGGGTCTGGGGTCTTCCGCCGAATTGCCGCCGAAGACCCGGGGCGGAAGGACCCCCCCGCCACCGAATTGCCGCCCAAGACCCAGAGTGGAAGAAGATCCAGGGGCCTGGGTGTGGGCCCCACGAGAGTTTTCCGGGGCCCCCGGAGCGAGTGAAGGACCCCGCTCCAGGGGCCCCGAAAAACTCTCGTGGGGGCCCCTGCGGGGCCTGGGGCAAATTGCTCCATTCCCCCCCCCAGGCAGCCCTGGTTTAAAGTTGTGCAATGCTCTCTTATAACGTCATTTGGCAGCCACCTGCTTTGTCCACTGCTTGCAGGAAGAGCAGCCTGTTGCAGCTAGCTGGTGGGGGCTTGGAACCAGGGTGGACCAGCAGCCCCCCTATCAGCTCCCCATTCCCCTAAATTCCCTGTGCAGCAGCTGCCCAGCAGGCTATCAATTTATTTACATTCCCCTATTTACATTCATTCTGATGGGGAAATTGGATTCGCTTAACATCATTTCGCTGAAAGTCGCATTTTTCAGGAACATAACTACAACGTTAAGCGAGGAGTTACTGTACTAGTGGAGATCTGCAGCTGGGTGAGTTGTGTCCAGAAGTACCAGGGGAAACCTGGTTACATCCTAGCTTGGGAATGTAAAGGGAGAGAGTGTCACCTCTGTTGCATTGTTCTTCCCCAGACTTAGAGATGGGGATCAGCAGATGGGGAGGAGGTTGGCAAGGGACATGCATAATTCTCCCTCTAACTTGCTGAGATCCAGATTTAAGTACTGATCCCCTGCAACACATGAGAGAACTAGAAACAGGAGTTTTATAGTGTCTCTTGGAAAGAGAAAAATCTCACTTTTTCAAAGGGATAGAGTACTTGCTAGCCTTGCTCACAAAATATTGGACCTGAACACTATACTATTGTATCATACTGACAGAGAGTCTGGGGTTTGTGCACAATGTTTCACAGTAAATGGGTCTGGGAGATTTATAGCAAGAAAAATTTATTCTTGCCACTTGGAGAGGCCACTATACAGACTGGATACAGGTAGACAGAAGGCATGTTGTAACATCTATTGCCAAGGACAATGGATATTACCTTAGAATCCCACCCGCTTTGACTAGTGAACATGGCTAAAGTAAAGAATTGGGAAGTGGCCTTTGAAATACTTAACTGGGAGCCAGGAAGATAGGGGATGTTATCAGAATGAAGGGAATGGTCATTGTATTTCCTTGCATTTTTTTCCAGATGGCACCCCTGATTTCAGCCACTGATTGTGGAAATGTTTATTCTCTCAACCTGATGAGAAACTCAATAACCAGGGATCTGTCCTGGATCAAGGAACTTGATAAACAGGTCGTGGAAAGCTCTCTGGGACAGCCAAAATAAGGCTGCATCAGGTTGAGGAGCAAATGGCCAGAAATACATATTTAATAAATGATTTTTTGCTGTACCTTGGGCATTCCAGGCTTATGAGATGTCTATATCTAGATGTGATATGCAAACCACTTCTGTTTTACTATCCCTTCCTCTGTTTTCAATAATTCTCTTAACCCACTTAATTGACAGGTCATCTGTCTGTAAGGTAACTTCACACATACAGCCCAAAGAGATGAGTTGGCAGAAGTACAAATGACACCGGTGTTTAGAACATGGATATCCCTCTCCTTGAGGTCTGTACATTTGGATTCATGATACTGAAGAAATTTGGCATTACAAGTGGAAGAATACCAAAAAAAAAAGTACTGTAATGGTTTTTAAACTCTCAAAATCATTTAGGGTGTGTGCCATTCTCTCATTCACCGGGAAGGTGAGGTTACTAACAAGTTGTAAACCACAACTGCCAATAAAATGTTCAGGCCAGACCCCACCATCATGTGCTCTCTTACATGTATTATAGGGGGTGCAGCAGTGACCCCATAGTTAGGCTACCTATCAACTTCCATTATAACTTTTTTTTTTAGTCTAATACTTCCAGTGTATGCAGCAACTCTTTGACATTTAGCAGAGGGATAGTCCTAGGGCCAGAGAGGCAACTTTTGCTGTCCTCATAAAGAATAATTTAAGTTAGGCCAAGTGATTAGTTGTTGAAAAGCACTGTTTCCCATTTGCATTTTGGTTTTGTTCTTAATGTGTTACTAAGACTTGTGCGCACTTCTTTAGCATTGCACATATACTATCCTGCTGCCTTTCTTAGCATAGGACACAGAACCAAACCTCTGGATGGGAGTGAGGAAAAGTGTATAGTGAAAAAAAATTACATATCGAGATAGGCTATTCAGCATAACAAGGATGCCTATGAGCCTATGATAATGCATTAACCTTACATGCCAGTTACACGGAGTGAGCTGGATCACTCATTCCTGGGGTAAAGCCTGTAGGATAAGGAAAACTCCACAAGGTTCCCCTTGCAGTTGCCCCAAAAGGGCATTTAGCAGCAAAGTGACAAGTTTTATTCCAGTGAGTGACCCACACGCGACGCCCCCCGCCCCTTATCTACAGCCCCAGCGATCAGTGTTTAATGGGCGGCGAGGCTGTGGGTAGACGGGAAGCACGCGGGGGCCTGGTCTCTAGGGAGATGCTGTCCAGCTAACGGGAGAAGACCCTTCCGAAGAAACTGGAAACTCCGCCTCCCTCAGGCTGGGCCGAGCTGAGCCCCCGGACTCCCCCCTCGGCGGGCTCCGGCTCGCACGGCCGGTGCAGGGGCGCGCTGGCGAGACATGGCTCTGCTCGGGGACGGGAAGCAGCAGAGACTGACCCGAACCAGTCCGGGCAGCAGACGACACCAGCCCAGCAGTCGCTAGTGCGCATGCTCCCACCGCTCCGACACGCTCGATGACTAGCCGATTGCGAGGAAGGCGGAGTCTGAGCTTGCACCTGCCTCAGGCAGCACGTGCCGGAAGTACGTCAGGGGCCACAGCCCGGATGTTACGCTTGGAGCCGGCTGCCGGTTCCTATTGCACTACGCGGTTTCCGGTCGGTTGGGGGGCGGACGGGCCGTCTCTGGCGCGTGCGGCCGTAGGGGGCGGCCATGGCGTATCCGACCGTCCGGAAGGTGGCGATGGTCTCCTGCCTGGTGCTGTGCGTCTCCCTGCTCCTGCCTAGGACCTTCCTGTCCCGGGGCGGGAGGCAGGAGCCCGGCAGCGCGCCGCCTGCCCCGCCCCAGGGTAAGAGGCCTCCCCGGGGCCTGGCCCCTCGCCCCCGCCAGGGACGTGGCGACCATTCACATCCCTATCAGGGGTTTCGGCTGCTGAACTGCCACCCTCACGCCTGGGGCTGGTCTCCGTCCCGTCCCCCGGCTATGCACCCCCTTCCTCGCTGAGGGCCCCTCGCTCTGTGTCGCTCTTGGGTGCAGGGGGTGGGCGGCCCGCTCTAACTCTGGGTCCCTGTGTGCAGAGGGGACGGAGCAGGTGTCTGCTGCTTACTGTGTCTGAGCCCAGCAAGAAGCCCCCCTGCTAGAATCCGACCATAGGGAAACCCTGGGACTAGCCTGATCTCGGCCCCAGCCACAATTGGCAGCATTTTATTATTTGTGTTACCTACCCCTTAGGAGCCCTAGTCTTGGACCAAGGCCCTGTTGTGCTAGGTGCTGCACAAACATGGTAAAAAGCCGGTCCCAAGGTGCTTTGTACATTTCAGTGGATGGTGTTTATAATTCCAAGATTCTCATTCTGCATTTTGCATTAGCAGGTAGTATAGAAGCTTAGGTACTAAGTTTAAAATACTACTGTAGGTAGGCATAGAGTCATTTTAATACTTTGCGTTTCTCACTTATGGGTGTAAAGTACTATGGGATCTGCAGATTTGCAAGTTGAAATGATCATTTTATTGAACTGTTTTGTAAGAATATGTTTGCCTGGCCAAAAATTCCCCCACCCTAGTATTGTATAGTGTCTGTTTGGCTGCAGCTCTGCTCCCCCAAGGTTACAGCTTTCATTTTGATGGTGGTGTTTGTGCAATGCTTGTATAAAATGCGTTGGTGGCTTTTGGAATGAAAAGTATTCTATAATTCACCCAAATGTTTTTCCATCTCACCTGTTCTTGTTCTCATTTCAGAGATCTTTTGTATACCGTGGAATTTCAGAGGCGGAGTAGTAGCTCATTGTTCCCATCTCTGACATGATTTACATTTCTTCTTTCCCAAAAACCTTTTTAATCAAAACTCTCAAGTTTCATTTGAGTTTTATTTCTTAATGTGTGTAGTAAATTTTGTCTGAGTTATGTAAAGGGAGATCAAATTACAGTATCCTTCATTCGTTGTGTTCTGTCATTTATTTGAAAGACATTTTCTTATGTTGTTTTTACATTTTGCTTTTGAAGTGTCATGAAATAAAAGTTCATTTAAATCATCTACATTGTTTAGTTTCCTACTCCAATATTATTTCTGATTTTGTTACCAATATATCAGGTTTTCATAACACATTTTACATACATATAGTTAGGATTATTTATGTACAGTAAGAATTTTTTTTAAATATTGTGCTAATTGAGGTACATTTACTTCTTTGCCTCTTACTATGCAATCATAATCCACTAGAGAGGCCCCTTGTGCAGAGTCCTATCTTCATCAGTGGGGCTCTGCAAGGGGGCAGGGATCCACGCTAGCAGATCTAATTGCAGGAATGGGGATTTAATAAGGTGACTTCATTGTACACCACCTTTGATAAATTCCATTTTCTTCTAGTTCTGTGGCATCGATATGATCATATAGTTAAATAATCTTACTAACTCTACTCTCCCTGGGAAAACCTGTGTAAGCAACAGAAAGATGTTCTTATAAAGGTACTTGCTAGAAGACCTCATTTTATATCCAGGGGACTAACATCGTAGAGGTACACAAATCCAAACTTGTTGCAAATGTTCATATTTGCAAATGACTTCAGTACAGATTTACAAGCTTTTTCTGTATATAGTTTTGTCATCTCACTTTCAACATGGAAGGCAGAAAGAACGTGCTTATATGTCTAGTATTAGTTTTTTTGGTAGCATATTAAGGACTGGAGCTAGCAAGGTGCTGAGCTCTCTGCCCCCAATCCATCAAAACATTTAAGCACTTGACTTCAGTAGGGCCACTCTCATGCTTAAAGTTAAGCTTGAGTTTGTGTGTTGGTGGGTCAGGGACAGTGCTCAGCAGCCTCCAGGACTGACCTTACTCAGATGCCTTACTCTGAGGATGTAACCTCTGTCAGCTGCACAACTTCAGTTTAAGTTTATAGTCCATTTTTCAGTTTGATGGCAGTGGTTTCATTACAGTTGTTACAGACTAAACTTTCATTTTCCATAAAAAATGAAGTAAATCTTGATTAAACAGCTGTGATTCATTTTCTTGTCACTAGTTGTCCTCTTAAACAGTAACTATAATATCAATTTTTTCAAATACCCTATAAATTCAATCAGATGTTATTTTAAAACCTAAAGCAAATGCCTCAACGCTAGCCTGAATAAAACATGCTTAAAGTTTTCTGCTATTTGTTCGAATCAGACGTTGTCCAAAAGAGATTTATCATACAAGTCTATAACTTAGTGGGTATGTCAACTACTGTAACAGCAAAGCAGTGTTCAGAAGTATTTTTTTATTTAAGAAAGCAGTAAAACACACTACTGTAGGAGTTAAGCAGCAGGGGTGACGTATCTTTAATGTCCACTATGCCATCATACAAAATGCTACTTTAATTTTATTTCGGAAAACTCCTGTATCTACTTAAATCGGCAGTGCCTGTTTACATTATGTACAATCTTCAAATTTTTTAAGAGTTTGAAATAAGTTATTGGTTAGAGGAGAGGAATAAAGCCTATATTGACATTTTAAAAAAGTACTTTAAAATATAGTCTTCAGCAGTGCATCCTGTGTATTTTATAACATTGGTCCCTTTTATTCACTGTTATTTAAAAAAAAAACAATTGTGTCTGAATGGCAAAAAATATTCCTGAGCAATGGATTTGCAATTAGTTCTATATTAAAAATTCTGAATCATATCAAAATCATTCACCTGTATTTTGAGCGTACAACAGATTCTACTTTAGATCAGTCTTTTGAGCAACTGGATCTTGACACAATTAGCATTTGAATTTCCTTCAGTCAGGTTGGTTCTAGGTAGTGAGAGCTTTTCTGTTAAGGGTAACTATCTTGTCCTTTACACCTTCTCCCCCCTGCTCCCTCTCCTTGAGTGTTTATGCACACATTTTATAAGATCAAACAAAAATTAGTCATTTGGCAACCTAATTTCATAATATGTATATTCCTAAAACAGCTTAATGTGTTTTTTTTTCAACTTTAAACTTTTAAGAACACAGCAAGAATCCTTCCCTAAAAAGCAGTCCTAAGCCGGGTTTCTATAAGAAATATATATTGCGTCTAGTACATTCTTAGGAGAAATTACACCAATTGCTCATACCAAAAGCATATATAGTTGTCTTCACCATTGCCTTAATAATTAGCAATAGCTCAAGTGACACAAGGTGTGTCAAGAAAATAAAACAAGTCATTTTGGGGGAAAATGTAAACTAACACGTGTGAAGAAAAATAACCAAAACACAGATCTAGTGAGAATTGAAAACCTGGAAAATAGAGGCCTGTTAATGATCAGTGATTTAAACATAAGCTTGTAATGTAAGGCGGCTTGAAAAAGGTTAACATAATTTGGGTCTCCTATAGGTAGAGATATGATCTTTGTTTGGTTTGACTGTGCCTGGAATAATGCATTCAGTTCCCAGTAGAAAGATATTGGCAAACTAGCGAGAGTTCAGAGAAAAGCAATAAAAATTATTTGGTGGCTGGAGGAAAAATTTAGATTAAATATCAGGAAAAACTGAATTAGTTTTTAGTGAGGTGCATTAGTTTGTAGAATAGTCTCTCTAAAGCAAGTGATAGAAGCACCCTGGCTTATAACATATAAAACTGGACTGGAGAAAACATGAGAAAATATGTTGTAGGAAATAGGAGGGAGATGTACTGAGTGATCTGATTTTTTTTTTAATTACTAATTTCAACGATTGTCTGAAAAACTGGTTTTCTCTTTACTCCCTATAGTGAAAAGCTCAAAGGAAAAGAATAAATGGTACCGATGCAACCCATAATTATGAAGTGTCATAAGTATAATTTGAAGGTAGATTTCTCAAGATACTAGTATTTGCATTCCTAAAGTCAAGGATGTTTTTGTATCTCACTGCTATTCTTGCAATTTAGGGTAGTGGCAGAATGTCTGACGGAGTAGGTGCCTCCTTCATGGTTTGTTCTAGCTCTTCTGTGCTATGCATGGGACTTGAAGTTTATCATGAAGCCACTTTTCAGATAGCTGGAAAGTTATATAAAAACTTTACCTTGTAAATTTTGATTAATATAGAAGAGTTTTTATTTTTATTATTTTACATTTCAGAAGTTAATAGCTAAAAGTTAGACACAAATCTCATTTATGTTTTAAAAGGAATTAACTGTTTGGAGTTTAATATTAGGCTCACTTAACAACTAGCACTTATATAACCTTAGAACTCAAAGCACTTTACAAAAGTAAGCCAAGTTTACATTAGAAAACTGAAACACAGATGTGAAGTGATCTGACCAGTGCCACACAGTAGGCCAGTGGCAGAGCTGTGACCAGACCCTGTCTTCTAACTCCTAGGCTTTTTACCCCAGGTGCTGCATCATGTGTCTGTTTAACTAGTGCTGTTTGATTGTTCACAGTTTGTGGAGTGGTTAGGACACTAGCCTGGGTTCATTTCTGTGCTCTGCCACAGACTGACTTCCTGTGTCATCGTAGGCAAGTCACTTAGCCTCTGTGTGCCTCAGTTCCTGATTTGTAAAAGGGGAATAATAGTACTTTCCTCCCTCATAGGTGTTTGAGGATAAATAAATTAAAGATTGTGAGCACTCCGATACTACAGTAATGAAGCCATATAAGTACTATAGAAGTCTGTATAGGTGGATTACAAATTTAACGTGACAGTGGGTTATATATACTTCCTGTGTGTCCCATTGATATCAAAAGTCAGCACTTTGCAGCTAGTCAGCTACGGCCGAATCCTGTATTACACCTTAAATCCAGTTTTATAATTTAAGCAGTTTAATCTTAATGAGAAATAAAATGTGTAGATATTGATAAATAGTCAAGCTGGGTATAGTAACACTCAATAAAAGAGTCTCGCTAGCTGTACCACATGCAGTATCCTT